ATCCCAGTTGGTCAAATTAGAGTATTTTTGTGGCATTTTAAAACTAAAAGGTCCTCCTTTCTTCTTGGGTCACACAACTGCAGGGTTGCAAGACTGGAATTATTTGGTCCTGGTTACTGCCAGTCAGAGATAATCTGAAGGAGACAGATGAAAATGAGGCCATTATATTGAAAGAAGCAGGCAGGAAAGGAATGAACACAAACAGAGGGAGAGCCTGATTCCAGGATGGACTCATACTTGAGGTCAACTCTACCTTGCTTTGCTCAGCCATGTCAAGCAACAGTACCCTTTTAGGTGGAAGGCATAAGCTACATTAGTGTCTCTTTCAACCAAAAGAATCCTAATACAGAACTTTTTTGGTGGAAGGGAATGAGGGTCTTTCTGGAGTAGTTACCACTGGAGTAGAACCTTACAAGGGACAGAATTAGCCAGGTACAGACAAGACAGTTACAGAAAAATGTGCAAAGCCTAAGATTAATTAAAGGCACACAGAAGCCACTAAATAAATTTATTAAATAGAAATTCATTGAGCATATTTTATTTGCAAGTCACTTTTAGGTACCGAAGGTAGGGAATGGGGATAGAAAAGAAAATGCAAAAAATGCAACAAGACATCTTTTAATGATAGTAAACTGGCAATGGCATACTTGTTTACAGGTCAGGTAACATATATGGGGGAGTCCAAGGGAGAGAATACAGTCATGGGTTCTCAGTTTCTGTTTCTGATTGGGCCAGTAAAGCCCCTTCCTCATCCCTCTTTTCCGCTTATCACTAGAGAGAGAAACTAAAAACTACAGCTTCAGGCTGCTAAGCACCTAAAACAAAACAAAACAAAACAGAACAAAAACAACAAAGAAATAAGGCAAGCTGGACAAACTTATAAGTAAACACCAAAGGAAATGCTAGGAGAAATTTACAAAAACACAACAGAAGAAGGAATGTTAAAGAAGAACTCAATTTCTTCACAAAATAAGCAAGTAAAGTCAGAAGGATAGAGTCTGACCTAAAAGGTATAGAATCTTACAGCAAAACAGTAAGTCTTATACCTTTCAGAGACACCTTTCCAAGTGTCAACATGTCTGCAATAACTGACTATGTTAGGTCATAAAGAGAAGTTCGAGAAACTCCAAAAAGTAGAAATAGTATTATTTACATTCTTTGATTACAATGCAATAAAATTAGACAGGAGATAAAAGCAAAATTTTTAACTAACCATTAAGAAAATTTTAAGTTATCTCCTAAAATTCTCATGGGTGCCTCGGGTCTGGTGGCACATTTGAGGCAGAAGCCCTCCCACGCAAACATCTCTGCTGAGACGAAATGTAGAAAGTTAAAAAACTCCAACCATGAGAAAAGGCCAAAATTGTAACTTTTTCTGAGTTTATAGGAGAGCTGAGTTTTTGAGGCAACCAAAGGGTGACAAACCCCTCTGAGAAGATAAAATACATGAACTGTTTTATTTTTGAAAGTAACAGGAGAAAGAGGTGGTCACCACACAAACGGGTAGGAATAAATCAGCTAAAACTTCAATGAAATGTTAAAAGCCAAGTATGAACTAGGGGGTCACTTTGGAACAGTTAGGAGCACCAGAAATAAGTAGAGCTTGCACTGGCTCAAAAGCTTTCACATGCACTTCCACAAGGTGCTCAGAAAGATGCAGGTCAGGCAGGAGGCCACAGGGAGCCCCTTCGGTGGCACAGGCACGCAGGAGGCCACTGGCTGCTGCTGGAGCCAGGTCCAAAGCCCCTCCATTTCCCCCTAGTCCTTTCTCTCCTAGCCTCTGGCTCCTAAGGCCACTGGCTGCCTGAGGAAGAAGGTTGTTAGTAAACTGTCTATTGAATGAACTAATATATTTAAAATGTTCTCTTAACAGTTGTCAAAGTAATGTGTAATTAAAGCAGTTCAAAACTAATTGTGAGGCTGGGCATGGCAGTGCATGCCTGCAGTCCCAGCTACTTGGGAGGCTGAAGCAGGAGGATCCCTTGAGCCCAGGAGGTCGAGGCTGCAGTGAGCTATGATCACGTCATTGCACTCTAGCCTGGGTGGCACAATGAGACCCTGTATCTTACACAAACAAACAAATGAAGTGTGGTAAAACACAAAACTCATATACAATTAAGTAACAAGCATATTAAAAATATTTTGCTGGCCAGGTGCAGTGGCTCATGCCTATAATCCCAGCACTTTGGAAGCTGAGGCAGGTGAATCATGAGGTCAGGAGTCTGAGACCAGCCTGGCCAACATGGTGAAACCCCATCTCTACTAAAAATACAAAAAATTAGCTGGGCGTGGTGGCAGGTGCCTGTAATCCCAGCTACTCAGGAGGCTGAGGCAGACCTGCTTGAATCCAGGAGGTGGAGGCTGCAGTGAGCCGAGATAGCGCCACTGCACTCCAGCCCGGGTGACAGTGCAAGACTCCGTCTCAAAATAAAAAAAAAATTTTTTGCCTTCTTTCTTTTATAATTTTCTTTTTTTGTAAGAGATGTGGTCTTACTATGTTGCCCAGGCTGACCGTGAACTTCAGGGCTCAAGCATTCCTCCCACCTCAGCCTCCTCAGTAGCTGGGACTATAGGCACATACCATTGTGCTCAGCTTAGCCTTATTTCTATTAACAAAGAAATACAAGTTTAAGGATTTATACCTGCCCATGTTACCCACCATGAACGTTTTTTATAAGATTTTTTATTACAAAAACAATATATGCTCACAATAAAAAAGATGCAGATTAAAAATAAAGTATAAAACATCACTGACCAGGTGTGGTGGCTCACAAGTATAATCACAACACTTTGGGAGGTCAAGGTGGGAGGATCCCTTGAGCTCAGGAGTTTAAGACCAGCCTGGGCGGCCGGGCGCGGTGGCTCAAGCCTGTAATCCCAGCACTTTGGGAGGCCGAGGCGGGTGGATCACGAGGTCAGGAGATCGAGACCATCCTGGCTAACACCGTGAAACCCCGTCTCTACTAAAAATACAAAAAACTAGCCGGGCGTGGTGGCGGGCGCCTGTAGTCCCAGCTACTCGGAGGCTGAGGCAGGAGAATGGCGTAAAACCCGGGAGGCGGAGCTTGCAGTGAGCCGAGATCGCGCCACTGCACTCCAGCCTGGGTGACACAGCGAGACTCTGTCTCAAAAAAAAAAAAAAAAAAAAGACCAGCCTGGGCAACATAGTGAAACCCCATCTCTACTAAAAATAAAAAATGAAAAAAACCCAACAAAACAAAACAAAAAGTGTCACCCACTAGAGACGAACCATAGTTAATCTTGGCACATAAACAGATAAACATAGAGAACCTCGAATTTGTGTGTGATATTTTATATCCATAATTTAATTTTAAAATAGTTTATATGGCATACATTGTGTATTTCTCCCACTTGTCAATATTCCAAAACCATCTTTCCCTGTCAGCAGATACATTTCTATAATGGTTTTTAAAGGAAGCATAATATTTTATTGTATAAATGTACCATAATTTCTTTTTTTTTAGCATCATAGTTTTAGTAACCAATTCCCCACTGAAGGACATCATGACTCATTCTAAATTTTTAATAAGTATTTAGGCTAATGAAGGGGAGGGAAATGTCACAGTTACTCCAAAATTTAAATCTCAGTGGTTGAGGAAACGAATTATATAATGGAAATCTTTGACGACTATGCTTGATAGGCACCAGAGCAAGCACAGCTGCAGTCTGAAAGGCTTTTAAGCCAGAAAAAAAGAAAAAAGAAAAAGAAGTGAACACATTTATAAAGCTTTCCAAACTATCACAAATGACCATGGCTTACTGCAGACCTAGCTTCTGGATTGATGACTTGAATCTAGTCATTCATTTTACTTAAGAGAAAGACAGGAAAAAAGTGTCTGTCTTAAGATCAATAAGCCCAGAGTGAAAAACAGGTTTCCTCAAACACTGAAAATAGCACCACGCAGTTTTTGTCTTTGAATTTGAAGAAAATGTAGGTGAAAGTCTTTAGCATAAAGGGACAGGAAAGATCTTTACAAGCACACCACAAAAATGTGAACACATAAAAGCTAACTCAGTAACTTCAGCCTAATCAGTTGAAATAAATGAAGCAGAAAAATGTTTGTAACATATAACAGTTAAAGAATTAATATGTTTTAACATACAAAGAGTTATTATTAGCCAGTGATAAAATCAAACTACTCCCAAAGAGATGAATGGGCAGAAGGCATGAAAAAGCAATTCACAAAACAAACAAATGGCCAATAAACATGAAAACTGTTGAACCTCAAAGAAATGAAAAAGAATGACAAAGTCCTGTCGTGGTGATGCTGTTCATGTGAGGAAGACAACGGGAATTGATATCACCTTTCAGAGTGCAATCTACAAGGCTCAAAATGAAGTATACGTATTCTTTGAGTCATTAATCTCACCTCTAGGAATTTACCTTAATTACACATTTTATATATATATAATTGTACTACACACTGCAGTACTGCTTATAATATAATGAAAACAAACTGTGAATGGAGAATCTGTGAAATAAATTATGATACATATATGCATACAACAGAATACTGTGTAGCCACTAACAAATGCTGAGTACTCAGTAGATCTACGTTTGTTAGATGGATAGTTGAAAACTATCCATGAGACTGCAGACTTCCTAAAAGGAGGAGGCTGTAGAATAGAATAGAGGCTGTCACCTCATCCACAGTTACACAGATTGCCACAGAGATGACCTGAAGGATGGCCACCAAATGCTGACAGTGAATTCTAGTGATTTTTATACACTTCATGGTATTTTTCTGGATTTAAAAGAAATAATAAATGTGTCATTTTTATAAAAATATTAAGAAGCATTTTACTGATGAGGGGAAAGGCAGTTACATTATGACAGACTCAAGTATTCCCAAAGAGATGAATTTTATCTAAATATAGTTCGGCTATTAAGGCCAGCTGGCTGTTATATGTCTGCTTTACTTTGTTAACTGTGGTATAACAAAGAATTTTTCTGGCGTGCCATCTTGGGTTCCTGGTAGAAGCTTCAAAAACCCTTGGAATTTCCTGAGTGCTGGTGCTTTTGTTCTGCTAATGAGGTGATTCACATTGCACTCCCGGGAGCCAGGGGAGGGCAGAGACCGAGCTCAATCATGTGGCCAATGATTTAATCAATCATGCCTACAGAATGAGACTTCAATGAAATCTTTGGTCACCAAAGGTCAGTGCAGCCTCCCGACTGGTGTACAGACTGATGTGCCGGGAGAGTGGGGTGCCCTGACATTAAGGGGAAGGGTTGTAGAAGCTCTGCTTTCCCTTTTAGGCTTTGCTTTATGTGTTTCTTTTACAATAAAACTGTCATGGTAAGCACAGGACTTTTTTCTGAGTTCTGTGAGTCCTTCTAGTGAATTATCAAACCTGAGGTGGGGACATGGGAACCTCCTGGAACAGCAACCAGCTGGACAGAAATGTGAGTGGCCTGGGAATCCCCCTGAAACTTGTGGATGGAGTCTGAAGTGGGGGCAATCTTGTGGACTCTGTCCTCAATAGGCAAGATCTGCAATTACTCCAGGTAGTTGGTGTCATTTGCAATGCAGTACATCCAGGTGGTGTCAGATCAGTTGGGATGAAATGGAAAAGTAATTAAGTAATGATATAGTATTATTTTCTGTAACTGATACTTCGAAAAAATGTCAATGTAATAAATGGCCAATAGCTTTGTTGATCGGGTTTTGTGAATTTCCTACCACAAACAATAACACATAAGAAATGTTTCTCCTTCTTGGACATCCAGATGCCTCCTATCTGTGCCATTCATGCAACTCTCCCAGGCTGTGCTCCCACAGCCCCGTGGGCCTCCACCACAGCACTCATTCCCGTGTACTGCATTGGTCTCATACTGCCTCTCTCTCATATGCTGGACTGTGAATTCCAAAGCAGGCATCACATCTTCTCCATCTTTGTATTCTCAGAGCCTACCACTGTGCCTAGAAAGTGGCAGAGGTGCTATTAAGTTTGGTGGATGAATGAGTCAATGAAATAACTGTCCATAAAAATCACTCCAGTGAAGGCAAGCGCTTGAGTGCAAGCTCAGGTTTGAAACTTCACAGTCATTATATGCTCTTCTCCCCCTGCCAACCTTTCAATATTCAATGAAATATTGTGTCCTGGGAGATCAAAGTGATAAGCAACCTTTGCAGGAAAATGATAAATTAAAATAAGAATTACTTTAAACATAATAGGAAAAAAGAAAATAGTGTTAAATATTCCTTTTCCTTTTCTCTTAGATTTTTGTGGTCTCATGACAGGACATTAGCAATCTGGCTTTAACGTTTTTTCGTGGTCAGAATGCTTTTATCCTTCTCTACAACAACTTACCTTTTAACCTGGCATCACCCCCAAAGGCACCACAGCCCCAGTTTCCTGTGGCCACTGCAGAAAGATTCTCTGAAGAAATTCCAGGACGGAGAAATCCACAGTAAGCCTGCAGGATAAAAGAAATATCAAAGCCTGTGAGTGCCTAGACACTAACAGTGTTTCTGACTAATGTACTAGGATCAGTGTCCAGTATTAAGCTTATGTTCAACTTCTCATTTTTTTTTTCCATAGGGGCCAAAATAGAGGGAAAAACAGAGAAGGAAGAAGGGAGAGAAAAACCTGGGATTATGCAAGGAAGAGACTAAGAAATGATAAATTCTAATATTTATTTGTTTGAATGCTAAGCAAATAAAATCCCTTAAACTAATACAGGTCCCAATTTCTTTTCCCACTTCAAACAAACAGAAATGAAAATAGCAGAGATATTTCAAGAACTAATAGGATCCCAATTATAAACTACTAGGAAAAACCACCAAAAAAGAAAGGCACTTGTTAGAACAGTTTTCTTTTTGTTTGAAGGCTTTAATCACTATTCTTTTCATCAGGCAAAGGGTCACTATTATGCCTCCTCAGCATTCTCTCTCCAAGTTATGGAGACTAGATTAATAAATGTGCTTCCTGCTACTGAAATACGTAACAAAGAGCAAGCAACTATCTATAGAAGGGATTCCTACACCTGGTTATGAAATAACCTTTAAGATGCCTTTCGGCTCTAAGATGCTCTAGTTTCACAGCTCTGCTTTAAGCTAGAATATTTAAAAATTTGCCAGTAATCTGAGAAAAGTAAAATATATTCTGAGGATGCTGGCTAAGTATTAATTAAATGAACAGCTCATTTTCTATATGAGAAGACCATTGTGTAAGATCCCAGAGTTCCTGATTTCCACCTCTTTGCTGTCAACTAGTTGGTCTTTCTGCCTTCTTTCTACATTCTTATTTTCTGAAGTGATCAGACTATAACAGGTTTAATATAACAGCAAAGCAAAACTCCCCTGGGTTCTCAAGTTCCAAACAAAGCCTAAAATATAGCTTACACATAACAGCAAATACAATTAAAAGAATGATCTTGACAAATGTTCCCAGAGAAAAACCAAGGATAAAGAAAGATGCTTCTATGAAACCCACACATAGAAATATAGTAAATTGTTCTTTGAAGTTTTCACAAAGGTATAAAAATTTATTTTACAGACTGATTAACAAGGCTATTCCTTCCATACCCTCCCAGACTGTAAATCCTGACAGATATTAATTATAAGTTTGTACCAGGTCATTATTCAACACTGTAGTACAGAGCTTACACAAGTACTCACAAATTACCTGCATAGTCAGACGCATGGAGCTTCTGAAAATCTCTTTCAGGTCAAAAAAATCTAAGAGCTACATTTGTTTTGAATAGGCTCTTGAAAGATAGTCTGTGTCATTATACCAACAAGGGAGAGAACAAACCCTCTGGAAGAATAAACATAACTTTGCCGCTTTGTTTCATGTCAGAATTTTCTAACACGCCTAGAGAGAACGAGGCTTCCTCAGATTCCTAGTTCATTTCTGCGTTTATACTGTCAGGATGGTTTTAGTTTCTTTCTTACTGCTGTCTCTAAATAACTGGGTTAACTTTACTTCAATGTGCAAAAACAGCTTAGTGAAACTAAAGCCTAATGATTGAGAATTTGAAACATTTAAATTATTAGAAGCAAAATCTAGTATAAAATATTATCAAATTTTCCTGGAAAATTATCTATCTTGAAAAATGGCCATAAAAACAAACCATGAAACTGAAAATAAACCTCATTCAGTGTTTAGATCAAATTTTTAAAAGCTCATGGCTGTAACCCCAGCACTTTGGGAGGCTGAAGTGGGAGGATCGCTTGAGCTCTGGAGTTTTGAGACCAGCCTGGGCAATATGGCAAGACTTTGCCTCTACAAAACAAAAAAATTAGCCAGGTGTAGTGGCGCATGCCTGTGGTCTCACCTACTTGGGAGGCTGAAGTGGGAGGACTGCTTGAGCCTGGGAGGTCTAGGCTGCAGTGAGTCATGATGGGGCCACCACACTGCAGCCTGGGTGACAGTGAGACTCTATCCCCCATCCCTGCCACCAAAAAATATTAATCAGATAAAAATTAAATGATAAAATTACATAGAAATTAGAATAACTGGTTATAATGATTAAATACAAAATTATTTTATTCTGTTAAGAAGCAAGCATTTGTAAGGTCAAAAATAAGATAGCGGTAGTATGCTGCCCCGAGCCCTCTCTGGAAGGTCAGCCCAGGCTTCTCCCTTTTCTAGGAAGAAGGATACCTTAAGCGCTGGAGACCAGGGCAGAGCCTTGAATCAGGGCACCTTTCCTTTAATGAGTAGGAATTGAACTCCTTTGGTAAAGAAACAAAGATCAGATAAGGATAGAGGCCTCAAAAGAGTTGCCAAGTTCTCACTCCATAGAGAAAGGCACTAGGAATTCTCAAGAGCTCTATACTGGCATATGTGTTTGTTTTCCCTCACCCAGAGCAAGAGTACTTGAGAAGACTGATCAGAGAGCTGCAAGGGTAAAAGAAAGCCAGCTTGAACTCTGGCCATACCCTGGCCTGATATTCTGCAATGACAGAGCAATTTATTTTTACTAATAAACAACTCAGAAGGGGGAAAAGAAAAAGGAAGCACTGAGACCTCAGGATAGTAAGCAGAAGATACCAATGAACAACCCTATCTTGGAAGGAGTTTTGATGGGAAGGGAAGAAGACAGGGAACATAAAGGTAATTTGGGAGTCCTGAAGGTCGCAAAGGGGTGTGTTGGGAAGCAAGATGAAAATATTGGTACCTAGAGTTAAAAACCAGAGACCAATCAGGAAATGGTAATGATAAAGATGTAGGAAAGAAGGAAAGAAAATGGAAAAGAGACCAAACAAAACTGGTATAAGAGTCTACAGGCCCAAAATGAGGCCCAGGAAATAAATAGTATCCAGGGGAATAGTCTGGCACAAATGTGCACACGCACACTTAAGTAAGATCTTTGGCTTCAATATCAATTTTAGCAGGCCCAAGCAGAGAGACAGTTACGTGCTGCATAGTGATGTTGCAGTCAACAATGAAGCACAAACACGATGATGGTCCCATAAGATTAAAATACCATATTTTCATAGTACCTGTCCTATGTTTAAGACACATATACCTACCATTGCATCACAACTGCCTATAGTATTCAGTACAGTAACAAAGTACTGGTTTGCAGTCTAGAAGCAATAGGCCATACCATCTAGCCTAGGTGAGTAGCAGGCTATACCACTTAGGTTGTGTAAGTACTCTGTGATATGTGCACAGTGACTACTTCTCAGAACGTATCTCCATCTTTAAGTGATGCATGATTTTACTTAAAAGATTTCTTTCATTATCATGTAAATACATTATTCTATTTGCTAGAATAATTTAATAATTATTGTTCCTAAAGAGTTGCTCATTTATATGAAATCAATCTACTATACTTCTTTAACTTAATACAGAGTAGATACTGATACTGATTTTCTGAGGTTTTTAGTATTCTGTAATTTCTTATGACTTTTTTTTTTTTTTTTTAGACAGAGTCTTGCTCTAATGCCCAGGTTGGGTACAGTGGTGTGATCCCAGCTCACTGCAACCTCCACCTCCCAGGTTCAAGCAATTCTCCTGCCTCAGCCTCCCGAGTAGCTGGGATTAGACTTTATCTCTAAAATAATTATAACATTAATACATATTTTTTGCTATTCTAAAATACAAAATAAAATGAAAGAAGTATGCAGATCTTAGTTTCCTGATGTATAAAATCCAAGATTGGGATATGTATTTGTTATTCTGATTCTATATGTTGGGAAACTTAAGGGAAAACCCACTACAAATGATACATTTGGAACATTCTTGAAAAGTAAAATGACACATATTTTATGAAAAGATTATAAGTGCTCAGATGCTCAATTTCTTAGAAATATCAGCAGCAAATATTGACTGGTTTTGTTATCAAGCTTTGGTTTAATAACAGACCTATTCCAAATATGGTGGTGAATAATAACAAAAACATCAATAAACAGATCAATTTTTTAAAAAGGTAAATAGGGATGATTTCTATCTCTCTACCTTGTTCAACTTCAGATTCAGAAAGCTCCACAAAACATATTCATTACTTAATCCTACCTAAAATCCTACCTAACATGGCAAATACAACTTTTCACAGGTGGTTTCTTTCTTCTCTTGCAGCGCTATTTGCCACTTTTACAAGATGAAGTCATAAATCTTTCTAATCCTAAGATAATTCTCCTTTAGAATGACACCCAGCTGATCTCTCACAGGATTAAACATTGCTTCACAGTATCAGTCAGATAAAAGGAGACTGGTTCCCTCCTTTAAAAACCAACTCTATTTGCAGGTCATGAAGTGGGTCCAGTAAGACTGGCGGAGCCTGGACGGAGCAGACCTTTTCCAGAGGCCTGGAAAGCACTTTGTAGGATTGGCTTTTCAATTATTAACTGGTGAGTAATGCTTAAAAGTAGCAAACAGGTCCCCAGAGATCAGAGATCCATATTGAATTCTGACGGTGAAAACTGGTCTTACTGCTTTTTCACTTAGAAAAATGTGGGTTTTTTTCTTTTCCTCCTTTCTCTCTGGCATGCATACACACACACACACACACACACACACAAGTAGAATTGTGCAAGTCATCTCTAAAGTGATTTCACACAGACTTCTGCTCTAAAAACAAAGTTTGCAAAACATGAGATACAAAATATTAAAAATTGTCTCCAAGTTGTGCTGTCAGTTTATGTGAGATTCCTGCTGCTCATAACCAAAATTCTTAAGTCAATTTTAATAGGTAAATATAGTTAGTAAGGGACAAATGCTTTAATTTAGAAGGCCTAAAGTTGTTTGGGTTAATTTCTAATTAAGTTGCCAATGACATTTAACAAAATCATTTACTGCTTTTTCCTTTTTCAGTGAAAGAATTAAAAAACTAATTATTTGCTAAAAGAACACATTTTTTGGAATATATCAGTGAATAAAAGAACACACATTTATCAGATGCCTTCCCATGTGCCAGGCTCTGAACTAGGTGCTTTCTCAAAGTTAGTCCAAGTGTTGATAGGCTCTATTACACTCGAGGTATTTCCTTGTCTCACAGGAATTTGAAAAATAGCAGGGAACCCTCAAATTTCCTTGAAAAAGTGTATCAAACAGAAAAGCATATTGAGAAAAGCATTTAACAGGTACCTTGCTCACAGCAGAAGTTTATGACCACAAAAGAAGAGTGATTCAGGCATAAGCAGGTAGGAGACTATTCCAAAAGCAGAAATATTCTCAATGATTTAAGTTTGAACCATAAAAAGTCTAGAAGGTCAGACCTAGTTATAGTAGTCTCTATGTGGAGGACTTACATTTTTAAAAAATGATTTGGCTGGGCGCAATGCCTCATGCCTGTAATCCCAACACTTTGGGAGGCCGAAGTGCACAGATTATCTGAGGTTGGGAGTTTGAGATGAGCCTGACCAAAGTGGAGAAACCCTGTCTCTATTAAACACACAAAAATAGCCGGTGTGGTAGTGCATCCTTGTAATCCCAGCTACTCGGGAGGCTGAGGCAGGAGAATTGATTGAACCCGGGAGGCGGAGGTTGCAGTGAGCTGAGATCATGCCATTGCACTCCAGTCTGGGCAACAATACAGAAACTCCATCTCAAAAAAAAAAAAAAAAGACTTGAAGTCAGGGGAGCCTGGATTTGAGCTCTGGTTTGGTCACTGACCAGCTATGTGACCTGGCCTGCGACAAATTACTCAACTTCCTAAGAAGTGAGCTCACTGTCTCTAAATTAGAGACAAGAAAAATAGTTATGCCTCCCTGAGTGGTTAGGACTAAATCAGACACTGCATTTAAAGTGCTAAGTAGAATGCCTCATACAGAGTAAGCAATCATTTACTATTGTTATCTGTATAATTTGAAAAAAAAAAAAAATCCACCTGCATTTGACTGAAAGGAATCTTTTATGAATTATAAACTAGACTTTATTGACATGAATAATTGCAGGTGTAAAATGAATGTACACCTGCATCACTATACATTAAAAATGAACCCCTCTGCTTCATATGGCTTCATCTATCCCAAACTTGATTTGACACTCAACTTACTAGGCTTTATTGAGCACTCGAAGAGTATTTAGGAAATATATAACATTTTGTGACATATTGAGTGATTTAAGATAATGTACTTATGTAAATTCTAAAATGTTTACCTCGAAAACCTAAATTAACATTGTCTAAGATGTTATTTAGGCCAGGCGTGGTGGCTAATGCCTGTAATCCCAGCACCTTGGGAGGCTGAGATGGGTGGATCACCTGAGGTCAGGAGTTGGAGACAAAACTGGCCAACGTGATGAAATTCCATCTCCATTAAAAATACAAAAATTAGCCTGGCGTGGTGGTGCGTGCCTCTGGTCCCAGCTACTTGGGAGGCTGAGGCAGGAGAATCACTTGTACCCGGGAGGCGGAGGTTGCAGTGAGCTGAGATCGTGCCATTGCACTCCAGCCAGGGCAACGAGAGTGAAACTCCGTCTCAAAAAAAAAAAAAAAAAAAAAGTTTTTTATTTATCGATCAAGTCATTTAACAAAATATTTCTGAGACACTTCCATAAGGCAGTGTGACTGACCGCCGCCAACTCCCAATGAAATAAAACTCTTGTTGCCAGATTACTTAAAGACTCATTCTTAGTATAAAATGCCCCTCATGAGGACTCTATATTCTATAAAAAAATGTTCTTCCATGTTGCCAATATTTACAACTAACTTAACCTATTCACATATATCTTTTAAATTTCTGGTGTCTCTGAGGATGGTCAAACTGAAGGTTGGTGATACACAAGTAAGTGCAGAGAGAATCAACTGGACCTGGCAATTTTAAAAAAGACTTATGCCTGAAGTTACCTTCTTAAAAATTAAGGATAACTTCTAAAAGTGAATGATCTAGTTCTCACAGAAAAGTATATGTGGGTGTATAGACTTCATTCATAAAATAGGGAACCTTTCACTTTGTATTAATGTATTAATCATGGCTACATACATTTTGGTTCTACTTTCCTTTTCATATATTTCTCTCCAACAATCTACTGCTTATATAAATGTCCTCTTGACCATGTGACAAATTCACATATACATGTTTAGGTAAGTAAAACCTCATGAAAATTTAAAGATAAAACTGATTCTACTCGATATGCTCTATCATAAAAACTTCATGGCACTGGGGACAACTGCTTTAAGGCAAGAGTTTGGAACAGTGAAAACAGGCTTACATTTAAAATGTATCTAATTACTAGTAAAAGATACTTTTCAGGCAGGGCGTTGTGGCTCATGCCTATAATCCCAGCACTTTGGGAGGCTGAGGCAGGAGAAGATCGCTTGAGCCCAGGAGTTTGAAACTGGCCTGGGCAATATGGTGAAACCCGGTGTATCTAAAAAAGAAAAATTAGCCAGGTGTGGTGGTGCACACTAGTACTCCTGGCTACTCAGGCGGCTGAGACGGGAGGATCACCTGAGCCCAGAGAGGTTGAAAGTCTGCAGTGAGCTGTGATCACGCATGCCACTGCACTCCAGCCTAGGCAAAAAAGACCCTGCTTCAAAAAAAAAAAAAAAAAAAAAAAGAAAAAAAGATAATCTTCAGTACAGGCAAATCTCTGACTTTCAGAATCAGGTAGGAGAGAACTTTAGAACTGTTGATACATCAAAGGCCAGACATTCTGGATAGCTTTTCTGAGGGATTACTTTTTCTTTTTATTTTTAAATAAATGATGTCTGTTATGTAAGTTCAACTTTAAAAAATAGTGCATTATTCTTCAAATATTTTATAAAATTTGAGAACTCTAAACATTAAAATAATTAAAAAAATTATACATATGAGAATATGTTCAACAATAAATTAGATTCTCCCAAATAGATCAGGATATAAGATACTTAATTATGTTCAAAATATCTACTAAGTTTTAAGTGTAGTAAAAGTCTGTCTAGATCACTGTTATTATTCTCAGAAGTCTGTGTAGTAACTGGCACACCATGTATAACCACGTAAAACCACAAGCCTCATTATCCTAATAATCTCATAACCAAATCCTACTCATGGGAGTGAAACACTGATCTTCAGAATTGGGTCAGTCTTCTTGGCTGTGTGAATAATTTGTGGAACTAAAGAAAATCTCTAGGCTGGGCGCAGTGGCTCACGCCTGTAATCCCAACACTCTGGGAGGCCGTGGCTGGCAGGATTGCCTGAAGTCAGGAATTCGAGACCAGCCCGGCTAACACAGTGAAACCCTATCTCTACTAAAAATACAAAAATTAGCTGGGTGTGGTGGTGGGCACCTGTAATCTTAGTCCTTGGGAGACTGAGGCGGGAGAATCGCTCGAACCCGGGAGGCAGAGGTTGCAGTGAGCTAAGATCACGCCATTGCACTCCAGCCTCAGCCACAAAAGTGAAACTCCATTTCAAAAAGAAAAAAAAAAAGGAAATCTCTGCTGAGTGAATAATTTGAGGAACTAAAGAAAATCTCTGCTGTTTTGGGAAAGCCCAAAATCCAGAGAACAGAATCGGCTCTCTATTGTGTAACAGAGTTTATTTATTACGGTTGCCAATACTGAAAATCTGAACAACAGGTATGGCTCATTTTTATATTTCTGTAATACAATAAAAAAGAAAAAAAATGAATATAGTAGGCAGCACTAAGTATTACAGAAAATAATAGATTCCATCACAAATCTTACCTAAAATAGAACATTTGACCTGGCTTTTTCAGTTTTTCTGTTTTAACCCTGATAGCATACTTTGTAGAGAAAATGTCATTAAGCAGGTCTGAGAAAAAATTTTCAGAGCTCATTCGTTTCTATATGGTTTTACAATGATAATGTTCCATAGCAGCTAAGGTACTTGATGAGATAAATGCATGTGTGGGGTTTAAAACTAAGCAACAGCCTATCTGGCAACCTTAGCTGCTAATCAAACAATTACAAAATGGAAAGTACATCTTGTACAAGCTGACACAGCCATTAAATCAGGAGAGCTGTGGGCAGACATACTGACACTGCAAGAATTACCAGAAAGCATTAATTTCAGCATTAATAAAATGGTAGTAAATAGATGACAGCTGCTGGATGAACTAAGAAATAAGGTTACTGGCCTTGTTCAGCTCGCGTCTGATTTTCTCAGGCACAAACTGATCGAGGTAGCGTCTGAAGTGAAGAGCATCGATGGCAACGATTTCAGTGCAGCGCCGCTGCCAGTCGTCCCTGGGACAGGATGGAAAGGGGAGAAAAGATAAGGAACAGGTAGTCAGTTGCTCAAATGAAATCCTCTCAGGGGTCAGGTTGCCAAGACTTTAGCTGTGTTAAAATATTCAAAACAAACAAACCAGTGTCTGCAGGTCTGAGCAAAAGGAAAGGAAAAGAAAGGAAACACCCTTTATTTTTAGATTGAGGCATATACAGTGTGCACTGTCAGACATTAAAGAGTAAAATGAAAAATTACCCGGAGACAACACAATGACATAGTGTAAACAGGTAAATCATTTATAGTAAGTCTCAGAGGTTAAAGGATTTGGGGGCAAACAAAAGGAATCTAGTTCTTTGTTTTCCTCTAATACTAAGGACATGGCATTTGCATCTTGACAAAAGCTCATTCCTCCTTTGCTTTGAGAGATCCGCTTTAAATCACTGGGGTTGTAACATCACTATGTACTGTCCAGGAAATTCCTAAGAAGTGTTACAAAAATGTGAAATAATTCAGTACAGCATTCTACCTACTGTGCTCAATTGCTGACTGTGAGAAACTATTTTTAAAATAACAAAGACATCAAAGCAGACAATACCATGTTGCCTGTGGAAATAGAAAGCAATGGTTGAGATGATAATTTTGGAAACATGTAAAATCCCAAATATTTAATCTCTTTATTAACTTCCATATATTGCTGTGCCAAGCAACTTTTCAAATTGAAAACCAAAATAGAAATCTTCATGCTGGTTTGTAAATAATTATCAGGAATAAACATCTACGTAGATGTTTGTTGCAACCACATATTTTAAAAAAATAAAGAGAAAGAAAGCAGAGGATGGACTTGAGACATTACGACGAATAAATTTCTGGCACGTGGGCAAGAGCTGATTCTTTCTGCCACAATGGCTTTCTCATCAAATAACAAACAAAATAAAACAAAACAAAAAATCCCACAAGCTTTCAGGTAGCGTTTCTGCAAAATTTTATCTCTGGTAAACTAGAAGCAAGACTGTCAAAGTAGAAGACTATATTTCAAGAAGAAATAGGAGACAGGAGCAGCAAACCACACTGCAGGTTCTGCCATCAACTGGTTTGTGGCATTAGGTCAACTGTCACAACATAGGTTTCCTCTATCTATTTTCACAGAAAAATTAAATACAACTTAGTAAGTTGGTCAAAGGCTTTAAGCTCTAATTAGAACCTATTCTACTCAGATTTAAACACGGAATTTAACCTCCACAGCTTCTGATTGTAGCTCAGAGGTAAAGAACTGTAGAGAATTCTGCCCCTCTTTGTCTTTGCTTTAGACTTTTCGTTTTATCTTTTCTGTTCTTCCCTTTGGTACAGGAAGGTGCTAATAGTGTTTTAAATGACAATGAACCTGTAATGCTGATTTCTTTTCTTTTTCCTTTTTAAGTTCACTTGCTGAAATACAAGCAGAGGGAATGAGAGTGTGTGAGGGTCAAGCCCAAATTCCTTTGTTTTTAGTCATGGAATACTGAAGACAGAAACAGACTTACCTTTCACTCCCATCTTCGTGGCTCCGGGACCAGCGATATGTCTCGGCATAGCCTGTGTATTCACTGTACTGCTCAGTACCTGAAACAAACAATCTGTCACTATTAACTTCACACTTAATGGCAAAAACATTCCACCTACCACAATATGGCAAGAATCACTTCTGTTTAGCACTGTACTGAAGGTCTCTCCAGCCAGTGCAATAAAGCAAGAAAAGAAACAAAACGGCATAAAGAACATAAAAAAATAAGTCAAACTGTCCCTATTTGTAGATATCATGATTGTTTACATAGCAAATTCTATGGAATCACTAACTAAAGAGAGAGGCAAGGCACAGTGGCTCACGCCTGTAATCCCAGAGGCGGGTGGATTACCTAAGGTCAGAAGTTTGAGATCAGCCTGGCCAACATGGTGAAACTCCACCTCTACTAAAAATGTAAAAATTAGCCAGGCGTGGAGGTGTGCGCCTTTAATCCCAGCTACTGGGGGGCTGAGGCAGGAGAACTGCTTGAACCTGGGAGGCGGAGGTTGCAGTGAGCCAAGATGGTGACACTGCACTCCAGAGTGGGAGACAAAGCGAGACTCAGTCTCAAAAGAAAAAAAAAGAAAAAAGAAAAGAAAAGAAAGAAAGAGAGGAAATTAAAATAAAGAAAAAGCATGTAAGTAAACTTAGTAAGATCAAGGGTATGTTTGTACACTAGCAACAAACAATGAGAAAATAAACATTTTTTAAAAATCCATTACCCATAATGTCAAAAACCATAAAATACCTAGGAATAAATGTAACAACTCAGAAGACACTACTGGCCGGGTGCAGTGGCTCACGTCTGTAATCCTAGCACTTTGGGAGGCCGAGGCTGGTGGATCACCTGAGGTCAGAAGTTCAAGACCAGCCTGGCCAACATGGTGAAGCTCCGTCTCTACTAAAAATACAAAAATTAGCTGGGCGTTGTGGTGTGTGCCTGTAATCTCAGCTACTCAGGAGGCTGAGGAAGGAGAATTGCTTGAACCCAGGAGGCAGATGTTGCAGTGAGTGGAGACTGTATCACTTCACTCCAGCCTGGGCCACAGAGCAAGACTCCATCTCAAAAAAAAAAAAAAAAAAAAAAAAAAAAAAAAGGACACTATATAAAAAAAGAAAACTTAAATGGGACATATACTCTCTTGAGATAGAAGACTCAATATTGTTACAATGTTAATTTTTGATATAAAGATTCATATCAATCTTAACACAAGTAGACATTAAAAAATAATAATTAAGAAGGTGACTTAAAAATTTACAAGGAAATGCAAAGAACCTAGAATGAACAACAACAACAACAACAACAGCAACAAAAACCAAGAAAATTGGAACACTCAACGCCCTAAGTTGAATACTTACTTAGTCTTGGCCTTCAGAAAGACCAAGAGTTGAATGGAATTAAGCAGAATTCATAAGTACAATCACACTTGTATCATCAACTGATTTTCAACAAAGGTACTAAAATAATCCATTAGAAAAAAAAGAGCTTTTCTAACAAAATATTGCTGGAATAAGTAGATATTCATAGAAAAATCCATAAACCTTAACTGTGACCACACACTACAAATAAAAATTATTTTGAGATGGACCACAGACATAAACATAAAACACAAAACTGTAAGACTTTCAGAGGAAAATATAGGAGAATAGCTTTACGACATTGGGTAGGTATAAATTTCTTAGACAGGATAAAGAAAGCAGTGACCATAACATTTACAAAACAAGCCAGCCAACTGCCTGGGAAGTGAGGAGCGCCTCTGCCCGGCCGCCGCCCCATATGGGAAGTGAGGAGCGCCTCTGCCAGGCTGCCAACCTGTCCAGGAAGTGAGGAGCGCCTCTGCCCAGGTGCCCACAGTCCACAAAGTGAGGAGCACCCCGTGCTCAGTTGCCAACTGTCTGGGAAGTGAGGAGCGCCTCTGCCCAGCCAGCCAACCACCGGGGAAGTGAGGAGCGCCTCTGCCAGGGTGCCGCCCTGTCCAGGAAGTGAGGAGAGCCTCTGCCCAGCTGCTCATAGTCCGCAAAGTGAGGAGCGCCTGTGCTCAGCTGCCAGCTGCCTGGGAAGTGAGGAGCGCCTCTGCCAGGGCGCCCAACTGACTGGGAAGTGAGGAGCGCCTCTGCTCAGCTGCCAACTGTCTGGGAAGCGAGGGCGCTCAGCGCCTCTGCCTCGCCGCCGCCCCGTTTGGGAAGTGAGGAGCACCTCTGCCCAGCTGCCCACAGTCCGGGAAGTGAGGAGCGCCTCTGCCCAGCTGCCCACAGTCCGGGAAGTGAGGAGCGCCTCTGCCAGACTGCTGCCCTGTCCAGGAAGTGAGACGCGCCTCTGCCCAGCTGCCCATAGTCCGCAAAGTGAGGAGCGCCTCTGCTCAGCTGCCAACTGCCTGGGAAGTGAGGAGCGCCTCTGCCAGACCGCCCGACTGACTGGGAAGTGAGGAGCGCCTCTGCCAGGCCGCCCAACTGACTGGGAAGTGAGGAGCGCCTCTGCCCGGCCGCCCAACTGACTGGGAAGTGAGGAGCGCCTCTGCCAGGCCGCCCAACTGACTGGGAAGTGAGGAGCGCCTCTGACCGGCCGCGGCCGCCGCCCCGTCTCCGAAGTGAGGAGCACCTCTGCCCGGCCACTGTGCAAGGGTACTTGGAAGGTCACCTTCCAAGTTTGAAGTGACAGCCTTGCGTGTGATCTTTTCTGTCTTTCCCAAGTTTGCATTTTCAACATTAAAGTTTACTTTTTAGTTAAAAGTTTTTCAAAAATTTACAAAACAAAAACTAGAATAAGCAAAATTAAATACTTCTGGTCATCAAAACCTTCAGGGCTGAGCGGCGTGGCTCATGCCTGTAATTCCAGCACTTTAGGAAGCTGAGGCAGGTGGATCACTTGAAGTCAGGAGTTTCAGACCAGCCTAGATAACAGGGTGAAATCTTGTCTCTACTAAAAATACAAAAACTAGCCAGGCATGGTGGCGTGCACCTGTAATCCCAGCTACTTGGGAGGCTAAGGCAGGAGAATTGCTTGAACCTGGGAGGTGGAGGTTGCACTGAGCTGAGATCATGCCACTGCACTCTGGCCTGGGTGACAGAGCGAGACTCCATCTCAGAAAAACAAAACAAAAGCAACAAACAAACAAACAATGAAAAAACACCTTCAGGAAAATGCTTAGACAAGACTGGAGAAAAAATATTTGCAAATCAAATATCTGACAAAGGACTTGTGTTCAGAATATGTGACGAACTCCTATATGTCTATATAAAAACACAACCCAATTTAGAAAAATGGACAGAAGACTTGATATAAACTTCACACAGGAAGATATACAACTGGCTAACAACCACATGAAATATTGCTCAACATTATTAGTCATCAGAGAAATGCAAATAAAAAAAAATCACAGTGAGAACCCACCATACACTCAAAAGAGAGGCTAAAATAAAAAATAATAAAAAAAAGAGTGACAACACTAAATGTTGACGAGGATGTAGAAGAAGTGGAAATCTCATTATATATTGCTCGTAGAACATAAATTGGTGTAACAATTTTGGAAAAGAGTTTGGCAATCCCTTATAAAATTAAATATACACATATTCTTTGACCTAGAACTTCCATCCCTAGATATCTACTAAACAAATATTGAAAATATGTGCTCACAAAAACTGCAGAGAATACTACTACTAAACAAATACTGAATATGTGTGCTCACAAAAACTGCAAAGAATAATGTTCATAGCAGCTTTATTTATAATAGATTTGTATCAGTCATTGTTCAACCAGAGAAATGGAACCAGTAGGACATATATATGAAGAGATTTATTGCCAAAAATTGGTCTACACAATTGAGGAGCTGACTAGTCAGGTCCAAAGGGTGCACAGGAACTCTCAGGCATGGGTGAAGTGGCAGTGCACAGAATGAATCTCCTCTTCAGAGAAGCCTCAGCTCTGCTCTTAAGGCCTTCCACTGGACTGAATCAGGCCCAGGCAGATTATCACTTATTTAATGCAAATCATATTGAATGTAGCCAAACACAGTGGCTCACGCCTGTAATCCCAGCACTTTGGGAGGCTGAGGTGGGCAGATCACTTGAGGTCAGTAGTTCGAGACCAGCCTAGCCAACGTGGTGAAACCCAGTCCCTACTAAAATTACAAAAATTAGCTGAACATGGTGGCAGGCACCTGTAATCCCAGCTACTTGGGAGGCAGAGGCAGGGGCATCACAGAGGTTGCAGTGAGCCAAGGTCACACCACTGTACTCCAGCCTGGGCGATAGAGATGAGACTTTGTCTCAAAGGAAAAAAAATGCTTATTGAATGTAATTAGATTAACTCCTTTACTTGTAGACTTTGATTACATCTATAAAATACTTTCACAGCAATACCCAAATTAGTGTTTGACAGAACTGGGGGCTGTAGCCTAGCTAAGTTGACATTACAAAAAAAAAGACTATCACAAAACTAAAGTAGAAACAATCCAACTATTGATAAAAAATTAATAAAACATTTGCCATGATTACACAAAGGAATACTCCTTAGTAATAAAAGGGATAGAACCACTGATATATTAAAAAACATAGATAAATCTCACATTATGCTAAGCAAAAGAAGCAAGATACAGAAGTGTATATGATATATATTTACATGACATTCAAAAAAAAAAAGAAAAAAGTAATTTATAATGAAAAGAATAAAAATTATGGTTGTTTCTGGGGTTGGGGACTGACCAGAAAAGGGCTCAAGGGAAGTTTTTGAGGTGACAGACTTTTTTTTTTTTAAATGTCTTGATAGGGGTGTGGGATATAAAAGCATATCTATTTGCCAAAACTCACCATATTATCCATTTAACACTGTATACTTCAATGTGTGTAAATTTTACTTCAAAAATAAAAGAACTGTAAACAAATATTGAACTCCATTTAACAGGTTTACTTTCTGCAGGGGCATGGTTTAGAAGTTCTGAAACCACCTTTTGTATATATTAGGCTTAAACAAAGGAAAACAATTGAAGATATTGGGAGCCACATTCTTCACAGTTGGGGAAGAGCGTTCCAATTATGAAAAGGGGGAAAGACTACAATATAG